AGATAGATATATAGATAGATAGAAAGATAGATTGATTGATATCGCTTAATTTACATAATCTCTCAAAATTTGGTCTCGAGGGCCACTCTTATATCCAAGAGAAATCTAATCTAAAGAAAAAAATCTAAACATAGAGAGAGAGAGAGAGAGAGAGAGAGAGAGAGACTTATAGAGCGTAAAAGTGAGAGAGAGTGAAAGAGCGAAAAGAAAGAGAGACAGGGTTTTTTTTTACGAGGGTTCGCAACAGCAGAGATCATATACCCTCAGGATGCCGGTGTTTAAAAAAAAACCATTTGTAAATATGTCGGGTTCGAATGCAGGGCCTTTGGATTCGAACCCGGGACCTTTACCTTACAGTGATAAGCGCCGTGTCAACGCCCAAAACATTGCGGCCACCGACGCCCCCAGAGACAGGATATAAATTGGGTGTGTGGATTTTTTTTTGCCATTTTCCGTTTGTGTTTTGGTGCTCGCATGGGGATAAAATAAAAAACGAAATAGCTGTTTTTAGTGATGAAAGTGTGACGTAAGAATTTTTCGCGTGAGCAATACATAAATATTGATTGTTCGCTATGGCAATACAGCCAGTGATAGCTCCATTTGGCAAGAAAAGAAATTGTTTTCTAAAAAGAACGAAAATGTATTATTTGCGACGTTTCAATTCTATCTACACTTTAGATATAGGGATGAAATTATTTATTTATTCATTCAATTCTTCTGAATTTTTTTAACGTTGTTTGTCATTGGAAATTTTTGAATAATAAGCGAAAAAAAATTGGCGAATAAAACTCACAATCTTACTCGAATCAATTCTTGAGCGTTTTCATAAAAGTACTCGATGAAAAATGAAAACAGGAGTCAAACAGGCGTGGCTAAAAGAAAAATAAATGACAGCTCAATCATGGAAATAAATGTTAACTGCCTGATAAGAAAAAGTGTATAAACGAGCCGAATATTTCTCAAAAATTTTTGCAGAAAGTTTAAAGAGATTGATATATTTCTTTTAATAATTATTCGATAATATATATTAGAATGTATTCTGTGCCCATGCATGCGTCATACATTAGTATAATTTCACCCCGGAACGCATTGGGTCTGCGCCATGAGTCACGGCTATGTTCCGTTTTAGCCTATCGCACCAGAACGGCTATGTTTGTCATCGCTTATTATTAATGATGATACTTTTTTTTGTGGAAAAATCAGAAGATTCAGTCCTGGAGATCGTAGGCGAAAGCGACTAGTCCAAACTGGGCCGCAAGGCACAAGGCCGAATTTAGTTAACGAAAGCCCACGTTAATTTACGAAAACGGGTAGAAATGAAGGAGCATTTCCTCTTTAAATGTGGACTGTGACTGGTTTTATTTTCTTCTAATGAATTTCTTATTATATAAGAAAATCTTATTATATAAAAATTACATTTTCTCATTTCCTTCTTGTTTCCCATGTTTGCTTAGTTAGTATTATAGTTTATTTATTGTTCAGCTTTAAAATCATCATCATTGTGGCGAAATTTTCGTAAACGACAAATGTAATAACAAGGTGTAGAAATGTGTAGTGATTAGTGACCGTTAATCGATAATTATTCAGAGATCGTGAGATGCGGTCTGGTGTGATGTAGGTTTCAGAAAAATATTTTCTTTATCGTGCCAACGTTTCGATCTTTATTGAGATCATCTTCAGGGCCTGGGATTTACAAACATTGTTTACATTTAACAAATATTTTGCAATGTATAAATTCACTTTTCGCCAAATTCTACATGTATTTGTTAAATGTAAACAATGTTTGTAAATCCCAGGCCCTGAAGATGATCTCAATAAAGATCGAAACGTTGGCACGATAAAGAAAATGTTTTTCTGAAACCTACATCACACCAGAACGCATCTCACGATCTCTGAATAAGTAATAACAAGGGATGTTTTAATAATTGAAGGCTGATCACTTTTCACTAATTGTAAAGGTCATAGAACCAAAGTTTAGCTTTCAGTCAAGATTGTTTCTTTAAAATTTTTGTGACGAGCAATGATGCACTTTAGTTTAGGATTCTCTTTAGGAAATAAAGGAAGCAGTAGGGAAGTCACAGGGTCCACTAATTTTCACTTTTAAACTGTAGTTCTACCGACAATGTATATCCTAAAATAAATGTTTAACAAAAAAGTCAAACTTTCCTGCTCTTATCATTTATATATTTTTGAAAGTCCCAAGGCAAAATATACTGTACACATGATTATGCAAATTCCAAACTGTTGGAATTTTTCTTGCCTTGCCATTCATTTCTTTTGTCATAATAAGCTTGAATTTTTTTTAACTTTACTTCATCCACTTTTATTTTTAACTTATCTTTAAGTGCATTATCAAATACGTAGACAATGATATGTCGCGTAGTGTGCGGTCGGGGTTGACCTGTCGAGTCAGAGCATTCTATCCATTCACCAAAACCAGGTATGACTTCTAGAAAAACGCATTGCAGGTAAGAATTTTTTTCGGGGAGACGACCAATATTTGGAATTTAAAAATGTCCTAAATAATATCTCGCAGAGCATCGTTGATCAGTACAGATGGTCACCCTGAACGTTGCATCTCTACTTTCGAATTTTTCGAAACGCCTCCGCACATCCTGTTCATTGAGTGTTTCTCGTCAAACTGAAAGGAAGAATGCGGTTTCGGTGACTTAATTTTCTATTTATATATTTTAATATAACTAAACAATTCTACAACAACAAAAATTTATATATTAACGGATGCAAGAGTGAGAGAAAATTTTAGAAAAACGAACGCTTTTGTTTACTCACCCTAAATGTTAAAACTACAATAAATAAAAATTGATACACTGATCGAATGAATAGAAGTTCGAACAAAGTTTTTATGTAAATTGGAGAAAATCACTTACATTTGTTTCCCAAATTCAAAATTTGTTTATACTTTCCATCTTACCTTTTATTTTTTTAATTGTGTATTATTTGTTAAAGAGATTTAGCTATATTTACACTAGTTTAGAATTGAATACATTATTTTCAATTGATTTCCCTCCTTCTTAAAAATTATTTTGATTTTATTTGTTCTGTTTTTCTTGTTTGTTTTTTCTTTTACTCTTTTATTTGATCAGTGTTTGTATTTGTAGTTATTCGTGTGTAGATATGTACACATTGTATTTTTTGCTTCTCCCTTTCTTTTTACGCTCTCTCACGCTATCTCATTCTCACTTTCTGTCGTTTTACTATTCTCTCTCCCTCATTTTTTTCTTGCTGTCTTTTTTCCTCTCTCTCCTACTCTTTCATTCTTTCTACTCCCTCTCTGTCTCCTTTTTCTCTTTTATTCTTTCTACTCAATCTCTCTCGTTCATTCTTTCTACTCTCTCTCCTTCATTTTTTCTCTATCTCTTATTCATCTCTCTAATTCTTTTTCGTTCTTTCTATTCCCTCTCTGTCTGTGTTTTCTCCCTTTCTGTCCCTTTTTACTCTCTCTCTCCCTCTCTCTGTCACTCTCTCTCTCTCTCTCTCTCTCTCTCTCTCTCTCTCTCTCTATCTATCTATCTCTATCTATCTATCTATCTTTCTTTTTTTCTACTTGTTCTCTCTCTTTTTTTTATTTATTTCTATTTCTTCTTTCTTTTATATATGCGATGGTAACGGAATGAAATTTTCTAAGATATAAATATTCGTATACCTTTATGCAAAGCATGTGTATGTAGTAAATAAAGTATTAATATTATATAATCAATAACCAACCAGGATTAAAATTCCAAAGGCGATGCTTAAAATTTCGAACCTAGGACGACGAACTTTGAATCTGTTAATTACTAAACATCTAAACCACCCAGAGTTTTGCAGCTTCTTTTTTTTAAATTTAGATATTAAGCTATTATGGTAACATTTTCTCTTTGGGTCATTCAATTTTTCAATCTTCTCAATGATTAAAATTAAATCCATGAAATTTTTTAAAATTATTTTTACCAAAGACGGTGTTATTACAAATTATGTAGGACTGGCTTTCTCTGCATGTCTTTTTCATTGTGTTTGTTGTACGTTTAGAAAATATATGTTTTTATCATGTAATGTAATTAATTTAGCGAAACGCCTCGAACGCGTCTGACAAACAACCTGCTTGACAATTCAGGATGATCGGGGAGGACCAAACAACTTATAATCTTTTATTACCATTAATGATAAATGAGTTGAGACATGCAAACAAATAAAAAACAGGAAAGACCTTATCCGGGTTTATATTTATTGAAATACGATCTCCCCGTTATGTAACAACGGCTCGGATACTTGAGGTTTTGGCGAGCGGGTTCTCTTTTAGAACATAGATTTTTATGTATTACCATCTCGTCGGCTTTTGGGCGTTAAAGCCCACTCGACCGTCTTCGAGTACCTCCTGAAAAATTGATCCAGAACCCCTCGACATTTAGAATACCGTCCCCCCTCGCACATGAGCAGTACTGAAAGAACGTTAGATTTTACTGCCTAGGCTTTTACCAACGATTGCGGTAATTTTTTTGATCAAAAAGCCTCTAGGCACTTTCGTTAAATTTTACGAAACTTTTTCTGAAGGCTTCGAATTAAAGCCGAAAGGAAAGCTTTATTAAAACGAATTAAAGTAGCTCTATTGTTCACACTATATTGACCTATGTTTTAATTAAAATGCCGTTTTTTTTACTATTACAACAAAAGTTAAGTCAGTCAGGACGTGTCTTCTTAAATTTAAAGTTGTAGAAACTTTCGATCATATGCATTTAAAAAACAAATCTTAAACGATTATGCCTTGAAAGGAAATGACGTGGACAGTATTCTTAATCAGTAAATCAACAGGAATGTCATAAGAGATTCTTTCAAACTCAGCATCATAATTATTAAATTTTATTCTGTATAATCTTCACATGAGGTTGTTTATTGTTCCTCTTTATTATAGTTATTTTTTAAATAAATTTATATGCTTTAAAATAATTGATTTTTTCTTTTTTTGTTATGTTATTTAAGTTTTCTTTTATTTTTGTTTATAGGAAAATGAAAACAAGAGAATGGCTGCTGCTGGGACTCTATTTAGGTACTGTATCATGTCAACAGAGCGCAAAGTTACAACAAAACCCTTGCAGTTTCAAGGCGACGTGCCACGAATGTATTCAAACTCCGACGTGCGCCTGGTGTTGGCAGCCCGTGAGTCAATTGACCGAATCGAAAATTATACAAAGTCGAAAACTAATATACCACCGTTTTCCAGAATCTTCCCGAGAGCCAGAGTCGGTGTTTCCAGCCGAATCTGAACACCGGTGACCAACTCCTCCAGTGCGCTGAAGAGTACATATGGAATCCGGACAATGAGTATACCATACAGAGAGCGGAGAAGCTGACGAAAGTGAGCGAGTCTGGCCACAGCTACCAAGAGAATTGGGAACAATCCAGCAGCCAAGGGCAAAGCTTTGGCCATGGACACGGGGCTCAGAATGATATTGTACAAATCTCCCCTCAAGAAGCACGCCTCAAACTTAGAATAAGTAATTACACCCTGAAATATGCCAAAATTTATTTTTAGCGTATTTAACACAATTTATATGAATTTAAAATGTTAAGGAATTAGATTAAATCATCCCATCATATTTGTTTAGACTTCGTACTTTTCCATCCTGCCCACCAAAATCTAGCTTACAGTGGCCAGGAAATGTTTTTCCTCGAAACATGTTGGCCTGGAACAAATGACTGAGAATGTTGACATTCTAGAAATGAAGCTATTTAGAGCTCATAGGCTTTAATCCAAAAGTAAATGACCTACTCTGTGTTCAGTGAGAACAATTTCTCTTCCCTGAGGACCATCTACCAATGGTGGCTTCGATAGTCATGAGTTCCTTTGCAGATGTGATCCAAAAACATTATCATCTTTTTTTGATTGAACCTTCTGTGATGTCTAGAGGTTTGGGGATGTGATCCAAAAACATCAACTTTTTTATTGAATTTTGCAAGAGGTTGGGATGTTCTGGCTTTCACTGCCTTTTCATTCCCCATGACCCTTGGGACTTGATGTTGATGATGGTGATAATGTTAACGGGATGTTAGTAAGTGAGGGTTTTGTATTCCCTAAGCACTGCAGCCTTTTGAATTATCGAACTGTTCCTAGTTATTTGGTTATTAACAATTTTGTGGCATACTAAACTGCCCAAACATGTATCTGTAAGCCAAATAGAATTTAGACTAGGCATAAGAAAAGTTCATTAAAAGACCATCACAGAAACTAACATCAGAACTAGTAAATCTAGGATGTGTTAGTACTAGAATAATAATTCGACAGCTAATGGGCACTGCACACTCCAGAGACATATGCGTAGGTTGAAGCAGCTGAAAAATGCATGTGCAGATATTTGCAGGAAGATGTCCTCTGCTGGTGAAAAGGAGGGAGAGGAAAAGCCCTGGCCTGAAGGAATGGGAGTCATGGGAGTCCTTGAAAAAGCTTTTGGTAGGTTTAGGTAAAAAACCTTAAGCTTAAATAGAAACTCTAGATAGCAATGGAGATGCCCAGCAGGTCATGGTGTGTAGATAGTATAGAACCCAATTCTATCTCTGATCTTAATTTTAGTTAACTTCAATTGACTTGATCCTTCTGTTAAGAATAGTATGGTTGTCTGTCATTACTGCAATTCTTTATCTTGGTTCGTATTGGTACTTTCGTATTCGTAACCCTTGGTTTGGTTATGCTTTCTTATTTTGGATATCCTTTTTCATTGGTGGTAGTTTCTTCGTCCTCATTGTATAACTTACAAATGGGGGTCATCATTGAATATACCTGTTAAGTGGGTGACCAGTGCCAGTGAACAGGATAAAGCCCTATTATTCCTTGAGTTTTACCTTGTGAGTTCAGGGTCAGTTATGACCATTTTGGACTAGTGCTTCAGTTTGGTGTTATTTATTTAGAAATCGTGAGATGCGGTCTGGTGTGATGTAGGTTTCAGACCGTTTTCACCAGAACGCATCTCACAATTTCTAAATAAATATTGGTTAATGGTCACTAATCACCACATGTTTGGTGTTATTTGAAGTGAGGGAACAGTGAGAGTGTAAAATGAATCCATCACAAACAGCCAATACTTCACTGAAAATGTGAAGCTAAAATAACACACAAACCCAACATTGAATATGATGAAATGCCATAACATATATGACATACCAAACCAGTTAGTCTGGGCAAATTGGGATGGTAGAAATGACCTAACAACAGGTTTATATCTCACAAACTTTATCAAAAAATCTCACAACTTAAAATATTTCAGTCATTAAATACAATATTATTATTTTATTTTATTTTTTTTTACAGATGAAGCATACAGAATTTCAGTTTCATATTCGCAAGCTGTATCTTATCCAGTGGATTTGTACTACCTCATGGATCTGTCAAAATCTATGGAAGATGACAAAGAAAAGCTCTCAGCCCTGGGCAACATTTTAGCAGAAAGTATGAAAAATATCACGTCAAACTTCAGACTCGGCTTTGGCTCATTTGTCGACAAAGTTGTAATGCCTTACGTTTCAATAGTGCCTAAAAAGTAAGTTTTAATCTTTAATATAATATTTTTAAAACAGATAATTATTAAGAATATTTTATTCCATTTAAAAATACTTTGTTTTATTTGATTTATACATACTACCTTATTTCTAATGTTAATAAAAATTGATTGCGGACAGATTGGAACAGCCTTGTGAAAACTGTAAGGCTCCTTATGGTTACCATAACCACATGCCACTCAGTAGTGATACAAATATGTTTGCCGTAAGTTTTTTTTTCAAATAAAGGTCAAATGAGAAAGCAAAGAAAAACTTCTTTCTGTATAAAATATGAGAGATTGAGAGAAAAAAGAATCGGAGAAGGGATATATCTTTTTTCTCCGCTGTACATTATTTGTTCCTTTTTCCTGCAACTTGGCTGTTGTAATTACTGCATCCATTTTAGCTGTCTATGTGTAAATTTTCTACCTATCTGTAATATAAAGGCTAGCACCAAACTGTTGTTACATAAGCTTTGATCTTTGTGAATGTAGATGTTCGGTGATGTATATAGGGTATATTATGGTAAAAAATGCTTGAGCCTATCGCTGTAACTTGCATCCATTTTTTAAAAATGTTTGTAACACATGAAAAATCTTCTGATGTCATTAATTAAACAATGCATTCATGCAACAACAATTCATTAATGAAATATACGGGTGAGGACAAAACTTCTGTTTTTAAGTTTGTATATACATATAAAACAGTTCCATGACTGACTGACGACCAAACTGCTGGACTCTGCATTGCAAGAAAGGTAAATTAAAACAGAGTCCTGTGAGGACAAAGTTGCGGGTAAAATCTAATTTTTTATCTTAAGTAAAAAAAGAACATGAATAGTTTTTCTAAATTAGAATGAGTCACCCTATTTATGTTTGGTATGGTCTTGCAACCAATAAATTTAAATGCTTCCTACCCACTCCTTATTACCTTATCCTGAAATTCTATCTAGCTGAACAATGCTTCAGACTGAGGTGCGGCAACAAGCTCTCAGAAGTCAGACAGGTACATGCGAGGTCCCATAAGGGTACATTCTTGGTCCCATCCTTTATATCATTTCTACTGCTGACCTATCTATACATCTTAATACTTCATCACCACCTATACAGATGGCCTCTAACTTGAATCATATCATGCTACCTTCAACACCCTTGAGGATAACCAAGACTAGTGTAAAAAGTGGAGGACAAGACTGAATGAAGAAAAATGTAAGTTTACATTCTCACTGAAAATAGACTGCTCTCAACTGTACATCAACAACAAAAGAGATGCCAATTTCCATTCTTGTCAAACAGTTAGGACTATACCTAGGCAGCAGACTGACTTGGAATCCCTACACAAGACTTAAAAGACGACAGCTTAACAGAAGACTTGGACAACTACGAAGATTTCTAGGAATGAAATCCGTCTTGACCATCAACTAACCTTATATAAAACTTTACTGCAACCATTTTGGACATATGGGGTAGATCAGTGAGGTTCTGCTATGCCATCCAACTTTCAGTGCATCAAATCCTTCCAATGAAAACTCCCCAGACAAATGATCAAAGCACCTTACTACGTCACTAACCTCACTATCCACAATGATCTCAAAAGTCCTTTTGTCAATGAACTAGTCTGTTCCTGATTCTTAGTGTCATGCTGACCTCTTGATCCAACCTAACCCTACTGCTCAAGCCCTCTTTGCACATTACGGTGATCCTGCCATCTTGTCTGCCCTCAAGACATCCTTGCCCCATAATCCCACACACTATGTGCCACCGTTGGCATGTGTCCTCTAGGTGCAGCCGTTGGCCTTAGTGTTAGTGCTGTGACCACTTTAAAAAAAATGGATCTAGAGGGGACATTCTGTAAAGTCTGAGTATTTTTTTAATACAAAATAGTTTTGTTTTAATTGGATAAAACCTATCAGCACACTTCCTGACATATAAAATTAATTTTATACATAATGGATAGAAATCCACATAATGAACACTTCCATAAGGAAAAACATTTACAACTGAAGTAGAATACTTTTTACTAATCCAAAGAGTGAGACCACCAGGGAATTAAACCCTAGTCAATTGATAGAAATTTACTGAACACGATCAAATTTGCTGTTAAATAAACACAATTTCCACCCTTGAAACAGTGAAATTTTGGACTCGCCCTTATATAATTGTTAATTAATAATATTTTAACTATCCCTGACTATTTAAGTTTATCAATTTTACTGAATAATTGTAAGTTTGGTGTTAGGCTCAAGTAAGGGTGTGCATTTTGATTACGGTGATTATTGGGATTGTCTTATGCATTATGTTAAAAAATGTGATATTTATGTTATATTATTTTAGGCTTCCATGATTTATCTCATGGCTGTTATTGTGTTTTAAAAAAATTGCCTAATCGCAATTCCATCAACGATTAAAATTAAAAACATGAACGTAACAAAACATTCACATGTTGTGTTAACAACACATTCACAGCTTTTGGTTATTTATTTAATAATTTAATTTCTAATTTCATGTTTATTTTGTTTATTTTTTATTTATTTATTTTTTTCACTTAAATCTCATGTGAATGTTATTTATCTCTAATGTGCAGTTTGAAAGAACCTTGTCCTGGTTGTGAAGCCCCTTATGGTTACCAAAACATAATGTCACTAAGCATGGACACGGAAGAATTTGCTGTAAGTGTTAAAAGAGAGAAAGGAGATAGGAAAAACTGCAAACGCCTTTTTAAAAATTTGACGAAAGAGATGTTAAAAAAAGTGTAACTCCCATTTAAAAAAAAGACCTTAAAATTTTACCCCCTTGAAAATAATTTGTTTCTGGTGTAAGAGTTGTATTTTGCAAATGAACTGCATGCCGCTTACGCTAAAATCGTACTAACACTGGTTTATTTGATTTGTACTAACAAAAAGTAAGTCAATTAAACAGTTCAATATAATATTTGCATGTAAAAGTAAAATTAAATATTTTTAGAATCGGTTAACGATAAATCTATTTTTTTAGTTTGATTTGACTAATAATTGTTTTTTTTAAATATTGGTTTAATCCAAGGATATGAAAGGTTTTATGAAAAGCTACGCTTCAGTGTTTTAAACATTATTCAAAATTTAAAGAAAACTACTTACTTTGACATAATGTTTCAAAAATGTCATTAAAAAACTTGAGCATTGAAAGCTCATGCAATTTAAAAAAATTACTGGATATCAAAAGTATTATTGTGTGCAAGGTGCATTCTCGCAAGTCAAAGATGAACACAACACACCCAGTCTAACGGCTGAGAAGTCAACGAGAAGTTCAGATTTCATATTTATTTTTATTATTATTAATACATTGATTATATATAATTCAGTGGCAGTCCCCAATTTGGTGTTACACAGACCATGTATAACAAGTTACAGTTAATAAATATAACAATAATATAATGTAATAAATATATAAGTATGAAATAAACATAAATAATAAATCTGTTGCAAATCAATATACAATTCAGCATGGGATTGAACAATGGACTATTTATGTTTGCCTAACTGGTTCTACTGGTCTTGGCCCCGGGACTTTTTTTTTTTTCAAGCGTCTTAAGCACAGTTTACTCAGAGATGATCGATATTGAGACACCGGTATCGAGGAGACTGATGTGAATTAGGGTCAGATACAGTCATTCAGACAGGGAGACTGATATGAGATACTGATTTTTAGTCGCTTGGAAAGTTAGTTCACTTGATACTTTTTCTATGAAGGAGACTGATGGGACATTGTGCACCATCCACACAGTTCATATCGAGCAGATCACCCCATCTGACGCTTGTTTTCATACTCCTTAATTGAAACTTTTACAAAATGGATCGAAGTGACATTTTTGATAATAACAAACAAATTTCATTATTCAGACATATCTCCCATGCTTTGAAACCACATTGACCACGATTATGCAGATAAAGTTAAAAAAGAAACTACTCCTGATTCATCCCTTGTCAGTGCAGCAACATCATCTGCAGAGTGTGCTAGTTATTGATGAATGTGGGTAATCCACACTGTAAAAGGTGTTCATTGGTGGACCCCACACTCTCCCCTGAGTGTATGCATATTTTAGTGGAAAAGGTTCTTGGGGTGAACACACATTACTCTATTCTTACTTGTTTTTTTGTCTAATAAAATGCCAAAGAGCTACTACTTCTACCTTGTCCATTATAAAAATATGACAGAGACAAACATCTAGATTGCTTGGAAGAGGATTGAGAGGAGATTAAGTGGAGGCAACTGAATCTAGTCACCGGGAGAGTCGCCTGGATATCTCATGCCAATCATCTCCATGTGATCCGAACCTTATGCTTTGTAGTGGCAGAGGATGAGCCGTGATGTCATGTAGAACAGGGTTTGGGTGGAGTCATGGTACCTTTCAACCTGGTATAAGCAATTATGTATTATGTACATCAGCTACCAGTGGTACGTCTAGGTTGGCATGCAAGGTAGAGTTTTTCACATACCAAGGGGCTCCTGTGGTCATTGCTTCCCGTATACTCGGTCGTCCTAAAAAGGACAATGAGGATCTTTAACATCCGCACCTAGCCTATTCAGCCTTATCGGATGTTTTGATTCGCAATATGAGAGCTGACGCACCTCCGCAGATGACAGAAGGGTGTTACTGCCACAGCGTTGGAGTAGAGGCAGCTCAGCCCCAAGGGGCCATACAACCTTGCTCCCTGCTTTCCCATTCCGAGTGGTCGGGTCCGCATTAAGCATTGAACCGTATGCTGCGTGCAAAGGGCTTCCTAAGCGGAAATACATCAGCCTGGTCTCCCACGCACTCCCTAGATAGAGAATGCCACTCTATCTCCCAGAGTATTGGGGCTTCCCTAGCGTAGAAACTACCGGATCTGTTCCAGCCACGGTTTTGTTTAAAGTGGAATTGCTAACCACCCTGTAGAGGAGACCACCTACAGTAAATCCTCCCATCGAGCTCAGCCTACACTTGCCACGTGCATTCGAGGGACGCTATAGGCTTAAGCCGAGGTGGTCTGATCCTTCGCTGTCCCACAAGGTAACAACGATGGTCATATTCACAGCTGTGCAAAGCAACTCGAGTAGGAGCAACCGATTTACTACCCGTTCCCAACCACTACTACTCACATATTCAAGGGACTAATCAGCATAATCATCACATCCTCAATGCCTATACGCTGCCATCTGATCAACCGTATCCTGTGAGGCCAGGTGTACAATGGTGGCCATACGCAAGTTTCGCGCAAAGATCACAGGCTTAGAAGACAGCTTCTTCTCTAAGTTCCCGCCAGGGGTGTCACCACAAGCCACCACGAATCCATTCCCATCGTAGCATGGGCTGAATTTGGAATGTTTTGTTACCCCATGGTACAGATGGTCATGCACCCTCCCCCATCTATGCAAACAAGATCTGGTACACTAACCCTCGTGTGCCTCTGATAAGGCACCCGCCACCCATGCCGACACGAGGCCAACACGATTACAGCTTGTGCTTTAGAGAGGTTGCCAAGCCCTCTAGGCTACACTATTATTTTGCACCTGGATACCTCCCTTGTAACCAAGGGTTAGGAGGGGGTCACAGGATAGAATGAAGGAACCTGGATTGAGAAAGGGCTGTGGACAAGGACTTGAGGTGAGCCATTTCAGGGTCTCGAGCCTCAACCACACTATACCACCCGTTGTCGCCACAGTGCCACATTGAGTGTGCCACAGCTCCCAGGGTGGGTGCTCCTGTGGTCAGTCACAACATTCGATTTTGCACTGTTTGCACTCTTTTGGCTAGCGTTTCCCTCAATAAGGCCCAAATCTTATTAGTTTTATAATTGCCAGGTAAATTTTGTTGTTTTAAGTCCAGACAGTTTAGGCTTTGAATTCAAGAGATAGTGCAACTGCCTAATTTGGTACTATAAATGCTGTACAGTTTACCTAATATGTTTATCCCACATCAGTTTTGTATCTAAGCACACTCCAAATACTTGATATCTTGTTGTAGTGCTTCCACTTGATGACTTAAGAGATTGTGGCTGGATACTAGTTTTATAGATGAAACAAACCAGTTTTAACTTTCCATTTCTCACAATTGTTTCATTTCATCAGCGAATGACTGCAGCCTACATAACACTTTGTCTGGTTCGTCCCTTTTCAGTGTAGCAACATCATTTGCAAAGTGTGCCAGTTATTGGTGAATGTTGGTAATCCACAGTATAAAAGGTGTACAACAGTGGACCCAACACTCTCCCTTGAGGAACACCAGTGTGTATGTATTTTTTAGCAGACAAAGATTCTTTGGGTTTAACAGAGAATGATCAATTGTGTAGATATGATAGTATCAGGTGATAGTATTTGTCCAGAATGTAGTTTTTTATTTTTGAGTGTAGTCTTCTATGCTAAACCCACATGAAAGTCAGAAACTTGAAAACTACATCAATGCCCTCCTCATAGGTATCCAAGTGTGCATTGCTCTGCTAGATGACTTGAATGAAGTTCACAGATCAACTAAAAAGTTGTTCAACTCCGTTAAATCAGAGGTTCTTATAATATATTTCATTTAACTTTTATTGATCAAGTAAATAAGCAAAAAATTGAGTTGTGAGAATGCGCCTTAACATGTTGTCACTGTGATCTTGTCTACACATGATAATTTTGCATTTGGAACAAAACAAAATGACCAAAATCAGCATGCCTTTCATAAAACTGAAATAGTACCAGTATTCTGCCCAACCATTCAATATTAAAAACAGGGCCAGGTGCAAAGTGCTTCTGTTTCCGGAAATCTCGACGCCCCCGAAGGAGGTTTTGATGCGATAATGCAAGCCGTGGTGTGCAGGGAGCAAATTGGATGGAGAGAAAAAGCCAGAAGACTTCTTGTATTTTCGACAGACGCAGGATTCCACTATGCCGGTGATGGAAAGGTGACATTTGCAAAAATTATAATTAATTGAGATATTAACAACTGAAAACTTTCAGCTTGGTGGAATTGTGAAGCCAAATGACGGCCAGTGCCATTTAGACAGCAGAGGCTATTATACATACTCAAACGAACAAGATTATCCATCTGTGTCCCAAGTAATTAAAAATCTTCATAATTTAAACAACTAATCAATTTTAACATTTTAAGGTGTTTTATTGAACTTCTCCACCCAATTATTTTTTTTTGTTTATTAACAAATTAGGGTAGAAAAGTTCAATAAAACACCTAACTAAATTCTATTAAATAATCAAGGAAAATAAGGAGCTAAAGTTTGAAATTTTTTTACTAGATTAATCTCAAAGTGAAGCAGAATGCAATAAATGTCATATTTGCTGTAACGTCCGAACAAATTGGAGTTTATAGTAGACTGAGGCATCATATAGAAGGATCATCTGCAGGCGTCCTTTCCAATGATTCGTCAAATGTTGTTGAACTTGTAAAAGAACAGTATGATGTAAGTAAATTTTGAAAATGAAAATTGAAATTTCGTTCAATATTAAAAAAAAAAATTGAAAATTGGTTTGATAAAAAATATATGCTAGTCATGATATGACATATAGAAGTCAAATTCAACTTATATGAAATATTAAATTATATACATAATATTCCAGAAAATTACATCTTCAATTGAAATGAAAGATACAGCTTCAAGTGCAGTTAAAGTTACTTATTTATCAAACTGTCTTGATACTGATGGACCTCTTCAAAAGACTAATAAATGTGATGGACTTAAAGTTGACTCTGAAGTTACGTTTCAAGTAAGTTGTCATTATTTTGTATTGGCAGTATAAGTAGAAGAATAATTTTTATTTTTGATTTAAGGCTTTGGTAGAAGTGAAATCTTGCCCTCCAAACCGAAAAGACTGGAAGCAGACGTTTAGCATATATCCCGTCGGCATCAACGAATCATTGACCGTCCACCTTGAAATGCAATGTGACTGCCCGTGTGAAAACCCAGGCAATCAAGTAAGCATAATTGAGTAAACTATCATCAGAATAAATTTAAAATCGTGTCAATTTATTTCAGGCATTCAAAGAACATGCTGATGAATGTTCTGGAGCGGGAACATACAAATGCGGTATCTGCGAATGTGACGATGATCATTTTGGAAGAAGTTGTGAGTGTAACGCATACTCCAAAAATCAGGATGAAAATGGAACAGGCTGCCGACCTGACAATTCTTCAACAGTCGATTGCAACGGAAGGGGAACCTGCATCTGCGGCCAATGCCAATGCTTCCCCAGATCCAACCCATTAGAAGTATAAATAAACTAAATACAATCAAGTACATAGATGATAATTTTTTTTTTATTCAGGTTATATCAGGAGCTTATTGCGAGTGTGACAACTTTTCATGTGATAGAGTAGATTCGCTCCTATGCTCAGGTCCTGAGAAAGGTACATGCGACTGTGGTAAGTGCAGGTGTGAACCTGGCTGGAGCGGGGCTGACTGCTCTTGCAGTACTTCCCAAGAAACCTGCCGATCTCCTACAGGAGGAGAGATCTGTTCCGGTAAAGGAGAGTGCGTTTGTGGGAAATGCGTCTGTAACGATGAAACCGAAGGCAGATACACCGGAAAGTTCTGCGAAAAATGCCCAGTAGGCTTAAAAATAACATATAATCTTAAAGATACAAAACAAGTATTAATTTGTTTGTTTAAATCTTCTTAAGACCTGCCCAAGAAGATGTGAAGAGCTTAAAGATTGTGTGCAGTGCCAAGTTTATGAGAAAGGGCCGTTAAAAGATGCTGAGTGTCTAGCCAACTGTTCTTTCACACCAGCGGTGGTCGACAATATAGTCAGTAAGTTGGCCAGATTATATCAATCACGATACACAATTTTATTTCAATCTTTTTTCAGTTGATGACACTAAAGATGAAGCACCATGCGTATTCATAGACGAAGATGATTGTAGGTACACATTCATCTACACATATGATGAAAAGGGGAAACTTGTTGTCACAGCAAAGAAGAAGCTTGACTGCCCTCCCAAAGTATTTGTTTTGGGTAAATTTCATTTTTATACACAACAAAAACGTTCTATTGTACATTTTACAATAATATGATGATTTAAGGTATCGTCATTGGTGTTATTGGAGCAATTGTCTTTATTGGGCTAATACTTCTGCTTCTATGGAAGCTTTTGACTACTATTCATGACAGGCGGGAGTTTGCGAAGTTTGAACAAGAAAGAACACACGCTAAATGGGACACGGTGAGCGACTGTGATTTTTATTACCTTCTCAGAAACAAGAATGTCTTTACTATCATGTTCATGTTTCAGGTTGAAAACCCAATTTACAAACAGGCGACGTCAACATTTAAAAACCCAACCTACGCCGGGAAATGAAACCTGAGTCATAATGAGTCAAAATGATCTTTACTAAAAAAAATTAGGGTACTTAACCACTAAGGAAACTAGAAAACTAGATATGTAAGAAAACTGGGTGTCTTAGCACGTAACTGTGTGCCTTCCAGAAACAATCCACTGTCCATAACTCAGTTTGTTTACTGAACTTGTACTTAGCTCTACGCAAACTGCCTAAACTAAACAAACTGAAAAAATAAAGAGTATATTTTGTAAATAAAAAAATAAAATTTGTAATAACTTCTTAAAATTAGTAGATCTGATGTATTTTTTAATTTCGATACTTGTCTGTGTAGAAATAAGAAATTTTAGATTGTAGATGGATTGTTGGCCTTTATTAGTTTGACGTAAAGCTTGGATTAATGAAAGTGTTATTAATTATTCAGCTCACTGCCCTGACACTATCGATGAATTTAATAATTAAAGAATTTTTAAGAGACATTATTTATATTAATTGTAAGGTTGTTATGTTTTGTTGAAAATTTACAAACATTAGCATGTAAATCTCATTTATAATGTCTACTTTTCTCCAGTAAAAAATACAGTTGAGCCTAATAATTAAGACTGTGCCATTATTTACCATTAAATAGAAATAGTAATTAATATTAAAATTCTGAACTAAAAATTTATATTTATTTTACTGGTTTTATAGTTACAGTCTTCCGATAGTTGTCTATGAAATATGAAATAAAAAAATTAAAAATTCTAAATATAGAAAATCGAGTGCCTAAAATAAGAAATAAAAAAATGTAAATAACAATACCTTATATAGTTTTATATTGTGAATATTAATTTTTTTCCAATTTATTCATAAGACTAAAATTATTTTTTACTTTTTCCAAGAGAGAATGTGTGATTATAGTCATTAACTGTCTTGTATCATTAAGAATTAATTTATTTTTTATTTCTGAGAATGTAGCAATATTTTTGGTGCTGAAATCTGTTAAATTTGCTTTTTTATTTTCTTTTTAATTTCAACTTATGAAAATTGTCCTAATGTTCATTTTTGTATATAATTTTTGTTTAGATAATTTATGTATTTATTATAATAAAATGGATTAACCAAAGTTTTAACTTGTGACTTTATCCCCCCTCCAAAAAAAAAAAAAATCGCAATGTTGTGCAAGGTTGTTGTAATGTATTATGCATTTTGTATGATTTTCAATCTACAAGTGAGCACAAGAATGATAAGATAATAATTATCAACTATATTCCAAAATGGTCATTAAATGATCGTTTATTTTGACCCAAAAGGGCATAATGTTCTGAAAAAAAAAAAAAATGGAAATGGTCTTCAAAAAAAGATCAATTTAAAAAATCATAGTTCTGCACCCTCGGGGCAAAACTGGATAAGCCAAATTTTTTGCAAAATGTGTCTATGTTTCAGTAAGTCTTTGTGCCTGACCTGCCATGTATAATTAAGCCATTAAGAAAACCATTTCTTTTTAAATACAATGTGCCGTTTTAACCATTGTAAAAAATTACAACATTTTGAAAATTCTACTTGTCTGTGTGCTACTTGTTAACACAAATAACTCATATACTGAAATAGAGTAAGCGTGTCACAATTAACTAGTAATTGTTTCTAAGGAAGGGATAGAGCCTTGTCTAGGCCCCAGAGGAAATCCCCCGATTGGTCTGACTATAATTTCTTGAAATTTGCCAGATTAAATTGATCTTTATTTGTTATAATGGATAAAATTTTTAAATGTTAGAATTTAAAAGAAATGAAATACACAAAATTAAAATTTTATATGTTTACAAAATTATTTTAATAGTTTACAATATTACAAAATAAAAGTGAAACATTTAAACAAGATGAAAAACAAAATTAAATAAAATGTAAAAAAAAAAAAAACAATTTAACCCACTGGTTTTTCCTTTTGATCTTAAGATTAATGTAAAATTAAAATTTAATGACAGTTGAAGGATTAGTATTTTGATTTACTCACAGGACCTATGAAACGGAGCGTCTTACTCAGTCAGAGGTGTTTCTCTCATTGCTTAAATCACAAAATGAATAAACAAAACAACATTAAGGATTGTCTCACACAGTGTGACAAGTGTATTTGCCTATGTCCAAATAAATATTTTTCTAGGAGAGTCAAAGAGACATGTTTTTTTATCTAAATGTATTACTATTTTTTTCATTAGTACAATAATCAGCAAAAAATTGTGTAAAAGAAAGTAGATAAGTGTCAGCATATAACGTAATAAGCACAACAAGTCAAGACATAATTAAAACCAACTATTTAACTATATACTAGGACAAATAAATTGTGATGGAATGTGAGCACAATAAAAAAAATTAAAAATTGAATTTCTATCAAAGGCCTACATTTTAAAATCGCAATCAGAAAATTTGTTTTTTTGACTTATCCAGTTTTACCCTGGGGGTACAGAATTAATTTTGAAGTTAAGCCAAAGAGATTCACCAGAATAGAAGAAAAATTAATATATAAAACTCATGCTCTTTAACTTTTTTATCAATTCTAAAGAATTGTCAATGGCCAATGTAGGTTTGAAACTGGTGTGGTTTTAATTATTTTAACTATTGTTATCACAAGTTCGTGGCATGGAGAATTATAAAATGACACTACTAATCTTATAGGTTTTTTTTTGTGAATTTGGACCGTACTTACAACATTAAGGGTTTCGGGTTTTAACCGCATATTTGCGGTCTCTATAATTTGAGAATAGAAAGTCAGTATTTTTTATAGCTGTTATATTTATATATTTTATATTTGTGTATTATACATCCCTAACCATCCCTAGTGGGTTATGGTCCAACAGCATTAGTACCAAACATTTCACATAAATTTTCAGTTGCAACTGTTGCATTGTTTCCTTTTTGGAATTCATAAAGTAAACAATGCCTTAAATGAATTTCTTCCAAAGACATGATTACCTATTAAATTATTTGACACAACGAAAGAGATTGAAAACAGAAACTGAAGAGAAATAAAGCCTTTTAAATTAGGGATTAAACAATATTTGTAAACAAAAATGATATAGGCAAAAGTATAAATATTGAGCTAATTAAAGCTAATTAACCAAATAAATGAAAAATGACATTACTTTTCTGCCAAACCAATATAAAGGAAAGATAATGTATGTTTACATTTGTATTCAACTGCATGCGTTAGAGAATGAAATGATTTGTCGATATCCCCAGAGTTTGACATCGGTGGGCAGGGCCACGGATATGAGACTATTTCCTGCTTTTGAGAGTTTCTTTATCATTATTAATCAACATTTACACAGAGTAGATGGAAGAATTATAAAAAAAAAAATTTTTATAACTAGTACATGCTATGATGGCTTACCTACATAATTTCTTTGCAGTATGGATCAAAATTGATGTAATTTTACTGTTGATTCAATAAAATTGTACATTTCTCTTCTCTCAGTGTGTTTTTAAAAAATTAATTTCAAGTCAATCGATTGGATGAACGATAAGACAAAGATAAGAAACATAAGTGGGCAAATCAAACGAAAAAGATTTAGTACAGTATATTTGTACCAGTTTCACAAGCCAGAAAACTAAAATGAAATTAGAATTACTATGCGTGTGTTTAATTTGTGTCACAAGCAGTTATAGCGATGAGTGTATGAAGTTTGAGACATGCCATGAGTGTATTCAAAGGCCAGAATGTTCTTGGTGTTTAGAACGGGTGCTTTATTTTATTATTATCATTATTTTCCATCCTTTTTCCAACAGTGAATTAAGATTTTAATAACGTTTTTTTAATTTTTTTATTTATTTAGAATAGCACACAAAGGTGTTTTACTTCAAAACTTAGCGAAACGCGAGTGGACTCTTTTGTATGCAACAAAAATTCAATTTACAATCCTCAAAATGAGATGACTATTTTGCAGTCAATTGACTTTAAGGAAAACCTCCATTTCAACCGCTTATCACCAAATAATGTCAAATTAAGTCTGCGAAAAGGTAACATTATTAAAGGAAATTTTGCATTAGTACATTGTTCTTATTCTTCCCTTAGGTAAACCTTACAATATCAATATCAAATTTAAACATGAACCGCATTTTCCACTCGACCTCTACTACCTCATGGATATGTCCAATTCTATGAAGGATGACAAAGACAAGCTATCTGCCATTGGAAACATGCTTGTTGAAAGTATAAAAAAGGTTACTTCTGATTTTAAACTAGGATTTGGAACTTTTGTGGACAAAGTAGTTATGCCCTATGTGTCAATAGTGCCAGAAAAGTAAGTTTTCATACAATTTCTTAAATTTACTAATGACACCCTCTTATCAAATTTTTTTAAAATCTGCGAAATACAATGTGTAATTTGAGGATATAGACATATTTGTATATATACATGGTCATACTGAGGGAAGCAAATAATAAATATTATTCTAAAAAAATAAATAAATAAAACAGAAAAATTTTGCGTACAAAATTTACATCATATTTCACATTAAATACTAATTTAGCACAAGGAATATATAATAAACTTTCTATTGATTCTGATAAAAACAAGAATATCTGTGGGCTTAACCCCGGTAAAAATGAAATAAAACACCCCATTAAAAAAAAAAAAAAAAAGTGGCAGCATCAATTGGGAGAGAAGCTGTCATGTCTATTGATAGATAGCAAGCTCAGAAGATGTGACTTTTAGAAGAAAGGCCATTGTCACCAGATAAGGATAGGACTTACTTTTAGGCCAAAGTATGTGGCAGGCATGCAGAGAAAGGTTGCACAACGTGTTCCACCTAATTCACTGGTGCAATTCCTTGGCTAGGAATGCTACCCAAATTGAGATTGTGCTTAGTAGTATCTGGGTACCCTGTTCCGATTCTTGAAATTCTTTTTCTTGGTTTTATTGATGGTGTATGATTGAAAGTGAATGTATTTATTAACATGAAGTATGAGAGGCACAATGGTGGAATACTGAGTACCCCATCTACCTAAACTGCGTGAATGGTAGGTAAATAATAAAGAATGTATTTAAGGGTGGGTGAGGTATGAATCGGTTGGATTCAGGAACTGATTGTGTTGGGGTCTAAAACAACCTCTTGTTGATAGCCCTGGAGCCCAACCTCAGTGGCTGGACGGATAAGGCCTAGGTTTGACCCTGGACTGCCAAGAACTGGGGTGGGCGATTCTTGAGGCCTCCTGGTAATTCATTGTAAATTAGAAAAGCTGGTATTCCTGGTGCAGTACAAGAGTGATAGGATCTACTCAGTATATTTGTGTAATATGTACATACATATGCAGATTTGAGCTCAACTTTATACACGTATTTATGCACATGCAATATTACTCCAAATAAAATTTATTTTACTTTTAGTTGGTACTTTAAACTATACACAAACAGTAAATTATAAAAAATGTTTATTCTAGGTTATTAGAACCATGTACTGATTGTGTGTCTCCATATGGATTCAGAAATCACATGCCTTTAAGTGACAATGTCTATCAATTTTCTGTGAGTTTTCAAAATGATCATTATTTAAACAATTTAACTTCCTTCGGTAAGAAACTATTAATTCAATATTATTACCTTGTCATAGAGGGAAGTTAATACTGCTAAAATATCAGGGAACCTGGATGACCCTGAAGGTGGTTTAGATGCAATATTGCAAGCTTTAATTTGTAAACAGCAAATCGGATGGAGTGAAAACAAAAGCAGAAAATTACTAGTCTTTGCTACAGATTCCCTTGTTCATTTTGCTGGAGATGGCAAGGTAAAAGTAAAATGCAGGATAACAAAGCCACGTTGGGGGCGTCAGTGGCCGCAACGGTTTAGGCGTTGACACGGCACTCATCACTGTAAGGTAAAGGTCCCTGGTTCGAATCCAGTGGCCCTGCATTCGAACCTGACATACTTACAAATGGGCTTTTTTTTTCAAAAACACTGGCACCCCGAGGGTTGATATAACCTCTGCTGCTGCGAACCCTTGTAAAAAATAAAAAAATAAAAATATACAAAGCCATGTTCTAATTTTTGTTTTTAAGCTTGGTGGTATTGTCAAACCAAACGATGGCCAATGTCATTTGGACGAAAATGGTTACTACACATACTCGACACTTCTAGATTATCCATCACTACCACAGGTGCATACATAATTATAAAATTACATAAGTTTTACAAAGCCGGTCAATAATGCAAATAAATCTCGTTAAAGATTAATACAGTTATAAAAAACAGTTCAGTAAATATCATATTTGCTGCTACATCAGACAGATTGGACCTGTTTAATGAGCTTAGCAAGCACATCGAAGGATCATCGGTCGCTGAGTTGTCCAGCGATTCATCAAATATTATTGAACTTATAAAAGAGCAATATTACGTGAGACTTGCTTTTTACAAACACTATAATTTCAATCAGTCTATGAGTTATGATATTGTTTAGAAAATCAGAACTTCAGTTGTCATGACAGAAACATCATCGAAATATGTAAATGTGGTTTTCTATTCAAAATGTGACAAATTTGATGAGCCACTGGAAAAGACAAATGAATGTAAAAACCTTGAAGGATCAGCGGTAATTGAATTCGAGGTATGTCGCAACTAGCAATAACCATAAAATTCCAAACAATTGTAAGATTCTACGGATTTAAATTATTGCAGGCAGAAGTGACGGTCGTGGCATGTCCAAAGAGAAAAGGGAAATGGAAGGAAACTTTCAATATTTACCCTGTCGGCTTACAAGAAGTATTGACCGTTAATCTAGAGATGGAGTGTGATTGTCCATGCGAAAATCCAGGAAATGAGGTAACTTACCTAGGGAGAATGTAAACGTAAAAAGTTGAAATTGACTCAAGTAAATTTTAGGGCTATATAGGTGAAACAGATGAATGTTCTCTCAACGGCTTAATGAAATGTGGAAAGTGCGAATGCCATGAAAATTACTTTGGTAACAAATGTGAATGTCATACTTCATCAATGGCAGAACATGAAATACATTTAGCATCAAGATGTAAAGAAGATAACTCAAGCCATATAACATGCAGTGGTCGTGGAAATTGCATATGTGGTGAATGTGATTGCGATGAAATGCACGATGATAGAGTAACAATTTTATTATTTACAATCAATAGTAAAAATATTGAACACGCTAAATATTGCTTTTAGGTTATTTATGGTCAGTTTTGTGAGTATGACAACTTTTCATGCCCAAAGAAAGATTCAGTTGTATGTGCAGGAAAGGGATTGTGCAAAAATGGTTTGCAAATTATTTTTTAATTTTTAAACTTTTTTTTTCATTACTAGATATTTATTTTCAGATAAATGCTATTGCACAGAAGGTTGGACTGGTGATGACTGCTCTTGCCCTACATCAGTTGACATTTGTAGGAAAGACCCTGAACAAGATATTTGTTCGGGTCATGGAAAATGCATTTGTGGCAATTGTGTCTGTAATGATAAAACAGGATATACAGGAAAATACTGCGAAGATTTTTCTGTAAGTATTCCCTTGATTCACCGATTTTCAACCGTGTAATAACGGTGTATTTTCTTAGCTGCAGCAACAGTGCTCGGACATACAGAATTGCGTTAATTGTGAAGTATATAACCAAGGATCTGAAGATACATGCAGAAACAGTTGTTCAATTGAGTATAACAACAAAAATCATGACATAAACATTGAAATCGTTTCTGAAATAGAAGGTAAAGACAACAAACAAAAAACATGAAACAAATTTTTTTTATTATGGGAGTTTTTAATTGATTTATTTGGAAAGTAACTTTACACCTGTTAATAATAATAGTTCCATACAATAAAATTGATGGTTTTTTAAATATATTTTTTAGTTAACGACACTCTTGATGAACATTTGTGTGCCTACACAGAGGGATCCTGCGATATATTTTTTTCTTATTACTATGATTTAGGTGAAGACAGGTTTGTTATAAAAGCAATTAGAGAAAGGAATTGTCTCTTCTGGAACGTAGCTAAAGGTTAGATAAAAATAATTGTAAATTAACGTTGATTTAATTGTTGATATTTTGTAGCCAACATGCTTTACCCGTGTATTTCAATATTGATTGTGGGATGTTTAACTCTCCTTGCTTGGAAATGGGTCGCAAATAAAAAAGATAAAGAAGAATGGGAAAGATTTTACAAAGAATCTATGATTAGCATGAGCTGCTCTGAGGAAGTAATAATAATTAAATTGTATAAAACTACATTAGCAGTCTATATCTAAATACTATTATTTTCAGAATAAAAATCCGTTGTATCAAAATCCTTCGAGACATTATGAAAACCCTATGTATAAGATGAAATAACACAACCGAGAAACAGGGTTGCATTTATTCTGTATGATAAAAAATTATGGATTTTTCGATAAGGACATTCCAGCAATGCAAGAGTATGGATTATTTATGTTGTGAGATTTTCCTTGAAGTCTTTGTGGTGTAGAATAATTTTTTTGAATTGAGTGGAATTGAATATTTTTTTAAATATTCCAGTTAAATTTAGCTTTGCTCCAAACTGCAAATTTTTCTGCACTTTAACACTTAAATTGTGAGGTCTGCAAGGTGATGAACTTGTAGTTTTGTCTTTTCCAAAAATTTTGATTTGTCAGAAGCATTTTGGCTTGTCTCCATATTTTTTAACTACAATTATTTGCTAAAAATTGAAGCAAGAAGCTAAAACATCAAGGATAGGCAGTGCAAAATGATCAAATGATCAGAAATGACTTAACTACACTATCATCCTTGTCCAGTTTTTTTTTAAAGCTTCCAGGTTATTTTCTAAAGTACACTTGTCTATACCATCTGATCAGGTATGAATATACAGTCATTATTTAATATGCCAGATCAGCTGTACTGTTTGTTCTACATTTGAAGTTATTTGACTAATACCACTGGACTTGGTGGACTGCAGTAGCCGAGTGGTTAGCATGGTAGACCCTCAGCTTGTAGAACCCAGTCGTTCACTTTACACCTGGCCATTTTTTTACACTCCCATCCCCCCAAAAAATTATGAATACCTATAATCTCACGATTTCTGTGTGGTCCAATAAGTTTGAACTTGTGTTACTCTGCTGTAATGTTTTTTGTGGTTTGCTCGTTTCAGGTCAAGTTGGTCTGCCTATTCACACTGTTTTAGTCATCAGATGTGTTTTGACTTCTTGTTATCTTCAATGGTGGGCAAATTTTTATTAAGTGAGGCCCCAGCAATAATTCATTTAATACAATTTTGACTGCATACACTTTTGTACTGTAACCAGTGGCCAGTTCTGAAACTCACTGTTGATGTTGACAAGAAGCCAAAATTGACAGACCAAAATGATCAGAAGCAACCAAACCATCATCTCCACAGACCAAGAGGAAATTTCACAACACTCAACAATTCTTAAAATACCATTTAGTTTTAGTTCTATATAAATGTACAGAATATATTTCTAATTTAAATGTAATTATCAATTTTGTTTAATGATTATTATTGTAAATAAATAAATAAAACAAGCTTTTGAATAATGCTAGTATTGGTAGCAATATAGGGTACTTACTTATCCCTATGGCTTATTCAAAGTAAGCTCCAGCCCCATCATGCAAAATATTCCTCTAGGATGTTAATATTGTTTGTAAGCCTCCAGGTGATTCAGCAAGCATGAGTGAGTCATCAGCATACAGCATAATCTAGGTTAATAATTTAATACATTACTGACTTTTACACCTTTGGTGAGAAGGATAGTGAAATATTACCATACCAGCTGTTAGTTTTGCTGTTAACAATCTTACTTTAATGCTTAAAATTTTTAAAAATTATATACTTTATATAAATTTCAAATTCTGGTTGTAGATGTTGATTGTAAATGTTCTGTAATATTCACATGTACCTTGTTATTCATTTTTTTCATCTCAACAGGTCATGTAAATATAACAACTTAATATTAAGTTACTTTGTAGTTATGTTAATTAAAAAATAAAGAAATAAATAGGCCCTATGATGGTGGAATAATACACCGAAGCATTTTTGATTTTCGTTTTGTTTTTTTGGTTCAAGAGTTCCCTTCAAACCATTGTATGTGGATCTAGGCTGAAGTCAGTAGAGTTATTTTATTTCAAATAAATCAAAAAATAAGTTTCTGTCATGAAGGAGAAAATGATATTTATTTTAAGGTTTACCTTTTATTAAATAATCTAAAATAGTTTTTTATGAACTGAATAATATTCTATATTAAAGTTGGTGATTAATGACCGTTAGTCTATGATTATTCGGAAATCGTGAGATGTGTGACGTAGGTTTCAGAAAAATATTTTCTTTAACGTACTAACGTTTCGATCTTTATTGAGATCATCTTCAGGGCTCAATATCTTATCCTATATCTGCCCGATAATCATCAAGTCAACGTTCATTTGTCAATCACTCTAATCTTGTCAACAATGATGAAATAGTTAAAACTTTCGTAAAACCAAGCTTAACTGTTAAAATGTATATAAATTACATTTTTATGTCTATGGTAACTACAAAGGTTTGCTCAGTCTTTATTTTTATTTACAAAGGCTATCAATAAAAAATTGTCCCACTGATGTTATTTTCTTATTAATTCGTTTGTTTGTGTTTGTCAATTTATTCCCACATGATCCCCACTACTTTTCGGCTAGACGGTCACGTTCCACAAATTCCGTCTACACTTTAATTTGAAGATTATTCAAAATGTGTGATGTTTAGTGACTGTTAATTAATGTTTATTTGGAGATCATGAGATGCGGTCTTTTAAGACGTAGGGTTAGAAAAACATTTTCTTTAACGTGCCCACGTTTCGAACTTTATTGAGGTCATCTTCAGGGCCTGGGATTTATAAACATTGTTTAAAGTATACAAATACATGTAGGATGTGAAAAAAGTACAATTTTCATAATTTTATGGAATTTAAACAATGTTTATAAATCTCAGACCCTGAAGATGATCTGAATAAAGATCGAAACGTTGGCGCGATAAAGAAAATGTTTTTCTAAACCTACGTCACACGAGACCGCATCTCACGATCTCCAAATGGTCACCATTCAAAATGTCATTCTCCAGTTGTGAATGTAATGTTGGTTGTGGATGAATGAATGAATAAATGTGTCTATTTACAGAAAAAATATTTCCGAATTTGAGACCATTCCGAAAAGATCCGAATAATTCTATATTAATTTAGATTCTTCAAACTAAAATTACACGTTTAAAAACGTTCGTGTTGTGATGAGTAACATAGATATTTGTTTTTAAATAACTTAACCTTGCCATTAAAAAATTAATAATTACATTTCACAGTATACAAGTAAAATACTAAGTTTTTGACAACTGTGTTGGTTTATCTTCTGGATTTTTACACTTTATTTTCTCCCTCTCTTAAATCAGAACATCGTTAAAGTAGCGCTTTAGCGCTTTGACCGTTTGGAGGGCGACGGAAAGCAAGTAAACAAAATTTGCAAGTCAATTTTCTAGAAGGGCAAAAATTCGTCTTGTAGTCACACTCTAAACACATTGAATATTACATGAACGCCATCAAGAAATAAATCATTCGTAACAATTGTAATAAAGAGTATGCATTCATGAACTTCTTTGATGTTTCAAAGACATAGCTAATAAAAAAATTACTTGCGATTATTTGCTGATTCGATAGTGATCTAAGAGGTAAATTATAAAAAATGTAAAAAGAAAATGAACGGTTTTAATAACTAATGACGAATTGACTTATACCATGTAAAACCAGCGCTGTGAAAGAGAGAAGGATGGCAATTTAATAATAAAACCATTCTTTTACCAAGGAAAGAACACAAGACTGATAAATGGAGCGGTAAGCCTCTTCTGTAATGAGTAAAATATCTACACGTTATCTTTAACCAAAATTTTTTTTAAAATCAGCATTTAAACAAAATCACAGAGGGAAACGAAAATGATCGTCGTAGATGTAAACGCCTTTTTGGTAAAAGCTGGGTAAACTAACAAGGGAGCGGCAACGTTGGTGGGCCACAGATTTGAATCAAACTTTTTTTCGTGGCTCTACACTCCAAAATTTCGGACACGTAACTTCTTGTGAATAGGCCCTGGTTTCGCCATTTTTTTAAGTTGAAATTTTCCGTTTTTGAATATTATTATTGTGTGGTGATTAGTGACCGTTAATCGATAATTATTCAGAGATCGTGAGATGCGGTCTGGTGTGATGTAGGTTTCAGAAAAACATTTTCTTTATCGTGCCAACGTTTCGATCTTTAGTGAGATCATCTTCAGGGCCTGGGATTTACAAACATTGTTCACATTTAACAAATACATGTAGAATGTGGAAAAAAGTGAATTTATACAATGCATATATTTATATATTTTTTATATATTCAATCAAATTATTTCTACTCACTCAAAGTGTTTGTCTTCTGTGTAATTGTGCCATTCTTGGGTCGTGTTGAGAGTGCCAGTGAGATATTGCTGTTTTATGTTGGATTTTGAAGGGGTGAGGAAGGAAGTCGGTATAGAAAAGACATTTTTGTATAAGCCGTCGGCTTCTTTGAGGTTCCCAGGCCCTGAAGATGATCTCAATAAAGATCGAAACGTTGGCATGATAAAGAAAATGTTTTTCTGAAACCTACATCACACCAGACCGCATCTCACGATCTCTGAATAATATTATTATTGTACATTTATTTATTTTTTATTTTACTTTACACTGTTCTGGCCAAAATGTATGCTCAACTGCACGAATTCTCACATCGGTACAAGAACACGGAAAATCAATGACTTCTTATCTTTTAACATACCCGACCTCGCTTCTTTCCGGTTCATTATGTTTTTGGAGTCTTAACATTTAAAGTTAAAAGAGAAGAATAAATCGAAGCTGGTTCTGTCTGTTTTTCCTTAAAAAGACTCGTCCAGGCAATTTAGTAAAGATATCGAATTATCTCTGGTACAATTTGCGATCAGCTTTCAACATTGTACTTTCTATATTAAAAATCGTTCATAGGCCAATTAGAAAGAAAACACCCAGTTCTTTCGTCGAACTTTCTTGAACATAAATATTTAAAATAATCTCTAGTAAGATCAGAAGGAAATAGCCTCGTGATATTAAAACCTATTTTATAATTAAAACAATTTCGCCGCTCGTAAAACGTTCTTAGAGTTGTAGTTCTCATCAAATTTTTTAAACGAGAAATTTACAGAAATTTAAGGACGAAAACCGCTCTCAGAGAAAATAATACTCGGGATATTATGAAACATGTTTATGCTGGCAATTAAAAAAGAGTATTGTTATTTTATTTATTTTTATTATTATTAATCAGTTAGGTTTTGCCCTGCCAGTTTAGCCGTAACATATTTTACGGGTGCAGGCGTCTGAATAAGATCAGAATTCCCAGTCATCACGTCCCATATGATACCATAGAAGGATCTAAAAAAGAGTAGGAGTATGTTTTAGTTCTATAACCATCCCAGTAAAAGAGAGAGAGAGAGAGAGAGAGAGAGAGAGAGAGAGAGAGAGAAAGAGTCTGTGGCCTTTTTTGGTTTTAATATCAAGGAATTCCACAATTTGTAGGGATAGATTAAAAATGATTTTGGTTAAGTGGAAGTCCCATATGGAGGCATATATCAATCTGGTTTGAGCTCAATTCAAGCTGACCTCTACTCATAAATTGATTATGTAAGTATTGAGATGTTCTGGCTTCGAACGAACCATAGAGAAATGAAGTCAGGAAATAAAATCTCCTATACTCAATTTTTAAGCCACTTCAAACTGTGATGTTCATACATATCTTTCCAAAAATGAATCGAAACGAGAGAGAGAAGAGAGTGAGAGAGAGTGAGTGNAGAGAGTGAGAGAGTTTGTAGTCTTATTTTTGTTATATATAAATCACATTATGTTTATATGAAACTCCTTTAGTTCGATCGTTGTTTATACTGATTTATCCGAAGATGTAAATATATCATGAACTCCACCTTATTTTCTTCGCTTTTTATTATCTATATATTCCTGGTTTCTACTAAGCTAAAGGTACCCTCTTTTCAAGGCACCTAAAAACTTGGAATTTATTTAACATTTATTTATTTAGCATTTATTAAATAGTTCTTGTAGTTTTATGATTAATTTGTAAAAAGTGATTATTCAGAAATCGTGAGATGCGGTCTGGTGTGATGTAGGTTTCAGAAAAACATTTTCTTTATCGTGCCAACGTTTCGGTCTTTATTGAGACCATCTTCAGGGCCCAGGATTTACAAACATTGTTTATATTTAACAGAAACATGTAGGATGTGGAAAAAAGTGAATGTATGCAATGCAAAAAAAAATTTATATTCAATCAAAGTATTTCTATTCACTCAAAATGATAATTTTTTTTGCATTGTATAAATTCACTTTTTTCCACATCCTACATGCATTTGTTAAATTTAAACAATGTTTGTAAATCCCAGGCCCTGAAGATGATCTCAATAAAGATCGAAACGTTGGCACGATAAAGAAAATGTTTTTCTGTTACCTACATCACACCAGA